TTTACGCTCCAAAACAAATAATTTATACTGAAACTGAGAACCGGAGCTTAATCAGGCAAGTTGTCAGACTGTATGATCTCTCAGGGAATAGGCTCTGTACTTTTTATTTAGATAAACAGCTTGATGTTGATTGAGTTCCCAGTAGCGTTTGCCGTAGGATGGATACTTGTTATTCATGTAATATCAAGATAAGGAATAAAGGATGGGGGAAGCGTAGCAAATCTCTGGGTACATGAGTTCACTCTCACTACTCTTAATATGGGTTCTTATGGGCGAATTCTAGCTCAGATTATAGATCAGGGACTCCACAAATATCTAGGAAGTAATTACTGGTGATTAGATAAGTAGTTTGTGCGGTAATGTCCACTGAAACTGTCCTCAAACACTGTACACGGGCGCCGCCTCCATGTCAACAAAGAGTGATCAGGTATTCGACACTGTCACCGGCATCGTCCCCCCTGCCCAGTGGAGGTGCCGACAATGATTATAGATTGATTTTCATTATTTAGACTGATCATTGTGATAATTATATCACAAGATAAATACCTAGTGGATTAAAAGATCGTTGACAGAACTTGATAGTACAATTTGAACTTTATTAAGGATTTTGAAAACACTTCACTGGAAGCTATTATTTTGGTTCCAACAATGTTTTTGATTATCTGGAAGCTTCTAAATTCTTGATATTACATGAATAATGTTAATATAGGCATTGAGCTCAATCGTATACTTGATCAAATGGTCATATAGGCTGCTAATGTAGACACTGATTCTTAAATCAGTAGAGATATGATTCTGATGTAAAATATAGATAAGGTATGGAAATATTACATTTCTTAGATAATAATATGGATATGGTGAGTGGAATTTGCCACATTTACCACTGTAAAGTAACTTGAACAGTACTGATACTGGCGGGGGTTGTGACAAAGACTCATGGTCTGGAAGACTCATGGGCTGGAAGACTCATGGGCTGGAAGACTCATGGGCTAGAAGACTCATGGGCTGGAAGACTCGTGGGCTGGAAGACTCGTGGGCTGGAAGACTCGTGGGCTGGAAGACTCGTGGGCTGGAAGACTCGTGGGCTGGAAGACTCATGGGCTGGAAGACTCGTGGTCTGGAAGTCTCGTGGTCTGGAAGACTCGTGGTCTGGAAGACTCGTGGGCTGGAAGACTCGTGGTCTGGAAGACTCGTGGGCTGGAAGACTCGTGGGCTGGAAGACTCGTGGGCTGGAAGACTCGTGGGCTGGAAGTCTCGTGGGCTGGAAGACTCGTGGGCTGGAAGACTCGTGGGCTGGAAGACTCGTGGGCTGGAAGACTCGTGGGCTGGAAGACTCGTGGTCTGGAAGACTCGTGGTCTGGAAGACTCGTGGTCTGGAAGACTCGTGGTCTGGAAGACTCGTGGGCTGGAAGACTCGTGGGCTGGAAGACTCGTGGTCTGGAAGACTCGTGGGCTGGAAGACTCGTGGGCTGGAAGTCTCGTGGGCTGGAAGTCTCGTGGGCTGGAAGACTCGTGGGCTGGAAGACTCGTGGGCTGGAAGTCTCGTGGGCTGGAAGACTCGTGGGCTGGAAGAGGTAGGTGCTTCATCCACTTTAGTTGGCTACACATAAATCGTCACTACAGTTTGCACCGACTGTAGTGACGATTTATTTGTATGGCGCCAAAAACATTTGTTAACCAATTAGTCTACTCTATATATGTGATTATCAAATATAAAAAGAGCGTCAGAATAGGTTTCAACCCGTAACACAACTATTCGCACCTACATGAAGCTAACTGCTTGTACGACCTACACTTAAAATGATAACAAACGTCTGTAAGCGTTTGCACATCTCTATGGAGGTAGCAGATGACGTCAATGACTCCCAGGACCCGCTATGTTTAGCGCCCTCCGGCAAGTTGTTTACATGCTAGCGCTACCGGAACCAAGCTGCCAGCCGCACGATATTTGAACAAGTACTCAAGAGTTCTTTAAGGCTAAAAAAAAATATCATGGAGCCAATGCAGATTTTGGATATTGTGTCCACTGGGCACATGTTTGGTAAACGACGTTGACTCAACACGTTTCCACGCTGGGTCGTGATACAAGATCAGCGGACCTAGGCTGTAGGGTACAATATTGGCAGTTTTAGGATAAGAAGCTATGTTGTCTTTCATCTACTATGATGTAGATGAAAGACAACAAGATTCAAAGCCACTATTATTAACGAGCTCCTTATATCCCAATTAAATTATCAAATGTTTAGCTCGTATTGCTTAATAATCGTTTTAAGTTCGTATGCGTGTCTTTTTAAGTGCTTGCATAAAAATATAGCTTATAATACACATAACAGTCAGCAGTGGTAAAAACTGTCAACAGCCCTCCACAGTCAGCAGAGGTGAAAACTGTCAACAGCCCTCCACAGTCAGCAGAGGTGAAAACTGTCAGTAGCCCTCTGTCAGCAGTGGTGAAAACTGTCAACAGCCCTCCACAGTCAACTGAGGTGAAAACTGTCAGTAGCCCTCCACAGTCAGCAGAGATGAAAACTGTTAACAACCGTCCACAGTCAGCAGAGGTGAAAACTGTCAGTAGCCCTCCACAGTCAGCAGTGGTGAAAACTGTCAGTAGCCCTCCACAGTCAGCAGAAGCAGATGGGTTTTGGGTGCATGATAGTCAAACAGAAATACTAGGCTCTGAGATGCAATCACTTGAGAAAACAAGTTTTCCTCCAAATAACGCCAGAGGACTTACAGTTTGTGAAACTTACTAGCCTATGCTTTAAATTCTTCCGGTTCGTCTTCCGGTCCGTGCACTGGAAGGCAGTAAAAATTTTGGCTTATGAAAGAGATGCGTTCACTTAGGGAGACAATTTGAGCTGATAATTCTTAGTACCCCTTCGAATAATTTAAAATTTATTACTCTATATAAATTAATGCTTATCGTCAGGCAAGTGGGGGAAGCAATTTAAATAATTTACAACACAAAAACACGGTCATCAAAACACATACAATTAAATATAAGCGTGTGAACAGTCTCACTCACGTGGGGACCGTGGTTCGAGTCTCCTAGAACCCAGGTGAATGGAAGGCACATACAATTAATCCACAGGCACTATCCTGGAAGTATAACAGGGAAATATACCATTGGCTCTCAGAAGTAGGAAGCGTAGCATTATTCGAAAAATAATTTATAAACACTAAATTATCTCAAGTTGGCACGTATTGTACAACAATCACTTCCGTGCTCATTGAAGTTGAGTATATTGGCAGTACTTGACAACATCGAGAAAGCATTTACGTATCAACCGTCTCAAAGAGAGCAAAGTTCTCCCAGCCAAAATTACGCGTAAAATCTTTCAATTTCAACATTGTATCGATTTTGCTGGGAGAAGAGGATGGGTCCGGACCTCCACCAACGCCCCACTCATGTCCACTGGAACAGTCTTACGTGTTGTACTTCACTGCAGTTTCCTTCGAGACTAACGTAGTCCCTCTTCCATGAAAAGTGGTGACTAGCACTAACATATGACTTCTTCAACTGCATAACAAAGAATACGGTAACATAGGAAAACAACGTATTAACACAACATATTAAAACAACGTTAACAACGTAGGAAAACTGAAGGCCTTGCATGGAGAATTACAGTAGTGTTACAGATAAATTCAAGTGATTACCAGACATGAGTGAAAACTCGTTACTGAAACCAACGTCTGCATGACGATCGCTGTCGAACAGTAACCCCTTGTCGCCCGGCTGTAGCCTCATCCAATTTCTTTTTATCGACAAATACTGCTATAGAGTTAACCTTTTAATGTTGCTGCCTCATTCTAAACTGTCGCTGCTTTTCGGGTCTGCACCCGTAGGCAGACCCGAAACTGTTCGGCCCTGCATACGGGTGTCAGATAAACTAATTGGTTGGAGCATCGAGCACATGGAGAGTTGCGGAGCGAACGTTCTTTCATTATGATGTTAAACCAAAGAGTGCCAATCCTCAGCCCAGTCGCTGACGCGACGATTGCAGGTCATCTCTCGTTGTCTGCAACAGGTCTCACGTCCTGGGAAGGGATGACAACGGAAATAACGTCAGACTGTCGAGCGCCATCTTGTATGTCCTGAATTATTCACTAAAATTTAGATTAGATAAACCTCATTACAAAAAAATAGATATCTTGGCATAATGCATATGTACACTTGTAATCCCTCATGTTGTGAGTGTATATAACTCAAAGAAAGCTGAATAAAGTTACTTTGGACTGCGACATCGTAATACTAGCTCACCGAAAACAGATATTGCTTAGCTTCAAACTTAGGTACAGTATGTCTGTATTTTTGCACCTACCATATACTATCTGAAGTATATACGAAGCTTAAGTCAAGACCTAGTTATGTGATACTAAAACCGCTATTTCGCAGGATAGTCATGCAGGGGCCGTGTGATCAGTTGCCTGCGATGACAAATCTTGGGTGGATTATGAAAACATCCTCAAGATCACGGGGATGTATAAAGTAACTGCAAAGTTTCAGGTAAATCAAACCGGCACATCTGAAGCAAAACGACTAACCATTCAATAATGCAGTGTGTAACTCATTAAGCTCATGACCCAGTTTCTGCTCACAGAGTTTACACACAAACTATTCAGGCTTGAGAAATTCGTCACTCACAGCCTACCACGGGTACTGATTGCCCAACCTGATCTTGGCAACTATTATGTTGCATTGTCTGCTGGATGTTTGGTGCTTCCCACATAAACAGGTATCAGAGCTAAACAAATTATAACTTTATACTGGTGCTTTTAGTGCGTTTGTTTTCCTTTATCGCCAATATGATGGGTATGAGGTTCAATAATAAACCGTTTAAACAGCCTAGTCAAAGATAAGAAAGAAAACAAGGGACGCGACCTTGGAAGCTCTCTACAACTAGGCTTCTATGTCGCTTCTCACCTTATATATATAATAAACAACGCAGCGCTCCTGTGTGAGTTTTCACCACGTAAACAGTGCACGGGGTTCCCTGCACCACGACACCACCCGTCAGTCTCTCTCCCGCGGGATAACCATCCGGACCTGCAGGCAGTGCTGCTCCTCCTCTTTTCATTTAGAGTGCAAAACGCGTTTCTCTGGACCTGTGTTTACAAAGTGTATTATCTTGTTCATACCCTAACTGATACTTTGAGCTCACGTCACAGCGAGAGATGATTCTCTCTTATTATTGTAAACTGTGAACAAACAGGTGTAATTTAGTGTGAACACAATGGAGGGGAAACAAAGTTTTTTGCTTTGTGCAGTTACTACAGTGTTATTGACCTGTGTTCCTGAGACAGTGATGGCAGATTTTGTCACTAAGAACATGTCAGATCCTCTGTCTAGCTTCTTCATCAGGCAGGAAGCCGCCCTCAGGAAACTGGATGACCTCATCGCTATGGTCAGTAAGGCGGATCAGCTCGAGACCAGACTTGACCAAATGACCAACCTTCTTAAGGGTCAAGAGGACAAAAACTCTGCGTTAGAGAGTAAGTTAGAAGCCATGGAAACCAAACACGAGGCACTCCTGGGGAAAGTCGAGGGAAAGATTGATGCCAAGCTATTTGAAATACAGAGCAACGTGGAAGAAACCATAAGTAAAATAGAGAGTAAGATTGAAGCAAAGTTAGAAGAAATGGAACACAATTTGCAAGTGAAACTGACTGAAAATAACATCAGGTTGGACTCAGTAGTAGGGAATATAAATAAACTGAACGTCACTATTCACATGATAGGGGCAAGTGTGAGCCAAGTAGAGGCGCGTTTAGATGACGTCTCCAGCTACAGTCAAGGCGAGTGTCAGGAAGCTGTGGCTCTGATGGTCAATGACAGTAACACCACCAAACAAATCGTGGAAGACTCCATTCTTAATTTAACCATGGCTACTGGGATGGCCCTTGAGGACATGAAGAGCTACGTTCAAAATGTGGTGGAGGGTGCGGTCAACAGTAGTCAGCCTCAGTGCGACACTCAAGTGGTCCTCGATTGTCAAAGGTCGTTATCTCGCCTCGAGGAGCTTGTAGCACCCAGCGCCAACGTCACCAAGCACCTCATCGCTGCTGTTTTCAACCGCATCAGAGTGTCTAACTTAGCCATGGACAAGCGCTTGGGGGCTCTTCTTCACACTTCATCTATCCGCCAACGCGTCCTACAAGACACCCTTCTGGCGGCCATCACCTCAGTGGACACCCTGGTCAGGACGCAGATGCTGGACCTGTACAGGAAGATCGAGTCCAGCATGGGAGGACTTGAAGATTTGGTAGCTACCTCTGCCAATCGCCACGTCAAGGAGATAGCCACACAGTTCCTGGATACCGCCAACTACTCATTCATTGAACTGTCCTCTTCAACTGCAGCCCAGATAGATCTCCTTCTCCAAACCCAAGCCAACACCACCCACGCCATCGACGTCGGCCTCAGCCAGCTACAGGAGCTCCATAACATTACCATGACGCAACTAGCTGGTGGTGCCTTCTGCATGATGTCGGTGAGCCAGAGGAAGTTAAATTTAGCAAGGAAGTGTTAGATGACTGTAAAAGGCCTCACTTAACATAAACGGAAATTCCTTCGTGCAGAACATGCTCCATGCACAGCACACTGTCAGGACAAAATCCCAGTCTTGCAACACGGGGGGACTCTCGCATACACTATCATAACCTTCTACACATCTTCACTGTGATACCCACAAGCATACACTTCAACTTACATATGTAAGGAATGTATATAAAGCCTCGATACATAAATCTGTATCCAAGTGTTATTATACTTTAGTTAACACCACCGACTATTTCTCATTAACTGCCGGGTAAGTTAAGAAATCAAATAGGTTCGACTTGGTAGACTTGAAAAATTGGGCTGCGAGTAAGCACGAATCTAAAGAAGTAATCAGAATGACTTCAAGTACTGTTTATATTTTGCTGCTGATACAACGGTTACTGTATTATTGACAATAATGTTATTGTAATAATAATATTTAAAATTATAGGTGCAATACTTTATATACAAACATTTGCTGGAAATCATACGTTGTGTGAAGATGTGTCGCGACAAGGGTCAACCTACACCGCGCAGCGTCACCCCTGGCACATGAGCGTCACCCCTGGCACATGAGCGTCACCCCTGGCTCATGAGCGTCACCCCTGGCACATGAGCGTCACCCCTGGCACATGAGCGTCACCCCTGGCCCATGAGCGTCACCCCTGGCTCATGAGCGTCACCCCTGGCTCATGAGCGTCACCCCTGGCTCATGAGCGTCACCCCTGGCACATGAGCGTCACCCCTGGCCCATGAGCGTCACCCCTGGCACATGAGCGTCACCCCTGGCTCATGATCGCCACCCCTGGCTCATGATCGCCACCCCTGGCTCATGAGCGTCACCCCTGGCTCATGATCGCCACCCCTGGCTCATGAGCGTCACCCCTGGCTCATGAGCGTCACCCCTGGCACAGGAGCGTCACCCCTGGCACAGGAGCGTCACCCCTGGCACAGGAGCGTCACCCCTGGCACAGGAGCGTCACCCCTGGCTCATGAGCGTCACCCCTGGCACATGAGCGTCACCCCTGGCACATGAGCGTCACCCCTGGCTCTTGATCGCCACCCCTGGCTCATGAGCGTCACCCCTGGCTCATGATCGCCACCCCTGGCTCATGATCGCCACCCCTGGCTCATGAGCGTCACCCCTGGCTCATGATCGCCACCCCTGGCTCATGATCGCCACCCCTGGCTCATGAGCGTCACCCCTGGCTCATGATCGCCACCCCTGGCTCATGATCGCCACCCCTGGCTCATGAGCGTCACCCCTGGCTCATGAGCGTCACCCCTGGCTCATGATCGCCACCCCTGGCTCATGATCGCCACCCCTGGCTCATGATCGCCACCCCTGGCTCATGAGCGTCACCCCCGGCCCATGAGCGTCACCCCCGGCCCATGAGCGCCACCCCTGGCTCATGAGCGTCACCCCTGGCTCATGAGCGTCACCCCTGGCCCATGAGCGTCACCCCTGGCTCATGATCGCCACCCCTGGCTCATGAGCGTCACCCCTGGCTCATGAGCGTCACCCCTGGCTCATGAGCGTCACCCCTGGCTCATGATCGCCACCCCTGGCTCAGGAGCGTCACCCCTGGCTCATGAGCGTCACCCCCGGCCCATGAGCGTCACCCCTGGCCCATGAGCGTCACCCCTGGCCCATGATCGCCACCCCTGGCACAGGAGCGTCACCCCTGGCACAGGAGCGTCACCCCTGGTTCATGAGTCACCCCTGGCCCATGATCGCCACCCCTGGCACATGAGAGCCACCCCTGGCACAGGAGCGTCACCCCTGGCTCATGAGTCACCCCTGGCCCATGAGAGCCACCCCTGGCACATGAGAGCCACCCCTGGCTCATGAGAGCCACCCCTGGCCCATAAAGAGCCATCCCTGGTTCATGAGTCACCCCTGGCCCACTATGAGCGTCACCCCTAGCTCATGATCGCTACCCCTGGCTCATGATCGCCATCCCTGGCCCATGAGCGCCACCCCTGGCTCATGAGCGTCACCCCCGGCCCATGAGCGCCCCACCCGTGGCCACCCGCAAAACGCAGGAGGGAGGAAAATCTTAATTTGGTCTCAGATGCCGTCCTACCACGATAAATTTACCTGATGATGAAATAATTATTCCATTGGTATTCTGCAGCAGATTTGATTTATTTTAATTATTATATAAAAGTATTTACGCTAATAAAGTATCAAATTAATTAGTACATGAAAAATGCTTGCAACAAATGATGATCTTCGTTGTCCTGTATTATGAGCAAATTATAGGTTTGCATTTCAAAATTCATTATCATCTGTAGATACATGCAGAACGAAATTATTTCGGGACACGTGAAACCTTCACCAGATCAGCCGACCTTCGCATGTTTGTGTAACATGAAATGTGAGAGGAAGCACAAGCAACTCTGCCTGAGAGTGTACCAAACACTACTGCCTCAGTATCTTGCCCAGGAGAGAGAGGGCACAACATTTATTTAGCTTTTGTATGAGATCAACAGCCTACTGAAATCTAACGTTCGCCTTTCCAGTTGTTTTTATACCTGAGCAACAGTACAAGGCAAGATTACTGGAGCTCATTCGATAATAAAATGATAACGTTCTTTCCTTACTGTGCTACAAAACCTCCCTGGCCTTGTGCCTTCTTTTGATAATTACTTAATTCTTTCCTTAGTAACTAGGAGGGTAGATCATGTAGGACGAGGTCACCAGCAGGTTGACCTCGTCCGTAAGGAAACGACTGGCAGTGGGCTAGGAGCGGTCATTGGCTGTAATAATTGAGGGTGGCCATTGTGATAATGTTCATTACCATAGACATCGCAGCCTCGTCACGTCCAGTTCAGTAACTGAAAACTGTAAACTTGACACTTGGGGCTGTATTATGTACCTTACACCAGATATTAAAATATATACATCTGCCTTCACACTGATACCACGTAGTTCAATTTGAACTGATTAGGGAAGAAAAGATCAGACATATTCCTGTATGTTTTGTTAGTGACCAGATTGCACAATTATAGGATAACAAATACAATTTGAGAAACATCTACACGAACTTCTACCACTTATTTGAGTTGTATCTAAAATAATCCACAATGCTTTCCTTGCTGGCTATTTGTTGTTAGTGACTTATTTATTATTTCAAGGATGTGTAACGTCCGCTGACATTGTACACAAGCCCGAGATGGGTCGTGGAGCACCCCGAGAAGGTGCGGCAGCCTCTCCTGTTTACCCCATAATTACATATACTGTAATGGGAGTAAAACCCCCCATCATCCTGTTTAGATAGCTATGTATCTATGTGGACGATTGTACTTATATTGACGTATCGGGCATAAGTACCAAAATACGATAGTACCAAATAGAATTTGGTACTATTCAATTTATGTCTGAAAAAAATAAGGCTAAAAACAAAACTTAAATAATCCTAAGCCTACTATATCACATATTATGTGCGCTATATACACGCAATATGTGATATAGTAGTAATAGTATACAATTCACTGTGTGAATTATATATACACTATATTAAGCCTCAGATTGCGTGTATTAAGCCTAGGAAGGAGAGGTTACGTTACGTTTTATTATCAACATAAACACAAAACTTGTTCAGTTTTCCAAATTCTATACTTTCTTATATATAAATTATATATGTACTATATAACTGTATGTTAATATATGTACGACGTGCACATGTTACAATAAGTAGTAACTAAACAGGAGGATGGGTTGGAATAACAGCATAGAGCAGAGGAGCGTACAATGATTTATGAAATACCTGCAGCCATTACTTTTAAATTTTGCCCCGAGGGGCGAGTTTATTGGGCAGCGTCACTCATCCTGTGAGTGGACACACCACCATAGTGACAGTATTGGGCAGCGTCACTCATCTTGTGAGTGGACACACCGCCATAGTGACAGTATTGGGCAGCGCCACTCATCTTGTGAGTGGACACACCGCCATAGTGACAGTATTGGGCAGCGCCACTCATCCTGTGAGTGGACACACCGCTATAGTGACAGTACTGGGCAGCGCCACTCATCTTGTGAGTGGACACACCTCCATAGTGACAGTATTGGGCAGCGCCACTCATCCTGTGAGTGGACACACCGCCATAGTGACAGTATTGGGCAGCGCCACTCATCCTGTGAGTGGACACACCTGTGAGGGGCCTCGTAGCCTGGTGGATAGCGCGCAGGACTTGTGATTCTGTGGCGCGGGTTCGATTCCCGCACGAGGCAGAAACAAATGGGCAAAAGTTTCTTTCACCCTGAATGCCCCTGTTACCTAGCAGTAAATAGGTACCTGGGTGTTAGTCAGCTGTCACGGGCTGCTTCCTGGGGGTGGAGGCCTGGTCGAGGACCGGGCCGCGGGGACACTAAAAGAAGCCCCGAAATCATCTCCAGATAACCTCCATAGTGACAGTATTGGGCAGCGTCACTCATCTTGTGAGTGGACACACCGCCATAGTGACAGTATTGGGCAGCGTCACTCATCTTGTGAGTGGACACACCGCCATAGTGACAGTATTGGGCAGCGCCACTCATCTTGTGAGTAGACACACCGCCATAGCAGCATGTACAACACTCTCCAATAGGAAGAAAACCCGCTGGGTTGTTCATCCTGTCACTTGTACCCAGACACAGCTGGGACTTGCTTAACTGTCTCAAGTGAACAGCTCCTCAAACAAGAAGATTAACATCAGCAAACCCTTAAAATCTTACGTTATCTTACGGGTGCAAAATGGGGGAATCTTTTAAAAACAGTATCAATATTTGACAAATAGTGTTTTCCTAACTCAAACAATGTGGGGTTCATTATTCTACACATATTTCTAATGTCTCTCAGGTGTTCACATTCACGTAGATAGTGGTCAAGGCGGTGTCCATCACTCTCACCACAAATTCTGCAACTTCGCTGATCAACAGTCGTTTCCATTCCGAGTCTCCATGGATAT